TTTTTATTTTGGCTTACCAAAATTTTTTTTTTGGGGGGGGGGGGATGTAATACAAAAATTATAAATACTTTTGTATTAATAAAACCGTTAAAACTCTTTCGTTTTCATAAAATGTCTTTAGTAAAGAATAGGTGAAGAAATTCTATTTTGGGAATTCAAGGCTGAAAACTTACCATTGAATCATAATTAGATTTATATTTCTAAGGAGGAGTTATTTTTAGAATCTTGTCCCTCTTTCACTTCCATATTAGGAAGCATTAAATGATATTCCATAATGAGTGGAGTTACAAAGGTATGTACGACTGGAACCTAATTACATCATTCTCTGTAGTATTTAATGCGGGACCGATGGTTTTCGCATGTCTCTTGCTGAATAACGTGTTCCATAAAACATCTGCCGGAACCATCCGGAGTTTCGTCTACACCCCCTCCCTTGTGGAGTGGGGATGTGAACTGTTATAGCCACCAGCCTACCTTTAAATAAACCTTTTGAGAACGTATTATGGCTTATGACTGCATTATTCAAGCTGAATACAACAATGATAACAGGGATGTAGCCCTGTTATTATTTATACTACGTGGTTATTTTAGATGATANATAATATAATTTTATTAAAGTAAGGGCCAGAGCCCCAGAATGACAACCTTACATGCTGGTGGATAGGTATAGAATAGCACATTTGACCTTGGAAAGAGGGTTTTTATATCTTTCTGGACAATATATTTAAATGTTAATAGGTCTCAGTAGCGTGGGACTGATCAATTTCCCAAGCTGCTAAAGCCACATCATCACATTTTTTGAGATAATTAGATCAATATTATTACTTTCTTGTGGGAAAGGTTTTTAAACGTTTGGGCGTTAGATAAATGCTCTATTTATGGATTATATTTAATATATAATTGTTTTAACATCACATAATATTCCCCCCCTCTGAAGAAAGGTCTGATCAATATGCTAGCCTATTGGTCAGAACTTCCCCCTTCACGCGATTTCAAATTAAAATTTATTATTTTTAGTATATTGTCCAATATTATACATTTATAAGATCAATTTTTTGTTTATTGCTGTAAAATATATTAGTATGATATTTATTTTTAGCACTATAATAATTATTAGACTGAGAAAATTTATCATATGTAACATCTTTAAATTTTTGAAAAACTCTAAAATTTTTTAAATCAATATGTAACTTAAATAATGATATTTCATTAAGACCAAGTATAGCAAAATTAAGAGGGGTGTCTATAAAGGCGCATGTTATTACTTTTGTAGTGTTTCCTATTTTAACACTTACCTTTTGGAGGTTTCCCTTGATATATCCTTGAAATTGCGAAATTAAAATCCTAGTAGAGTTCAAATGTTTTTTTGATTGTCCTATAAAATGTTTCTGAATTATAGTGATGTTGGATCCTGTGTCCAATATAGTTAGTAAATTCTTATTGTTCACTCGCGATGTCACACATAAATAGTCATTTGATGGACAGCTTTTGTTATTGCTGGGCTGCGGAGGCTGGGAATCATGCTGAGGTACTCCATAGAGATTAATTCACAAACCTTGGCTGCCGCATTCTGTACTGATTTTGGGGAATCCACTGCCTTAGCTGCTCCATTCTGTACCGATGCTGGGGAATCCACTGCCTTGGTTGCTCATAGTATCGTGTATTATCATTCCAATTGTGTCGTTGGGGAGTAGGTCTATTGAAGGCACTCTTTTCATTTTTTTCTAATTTTGAGCATAACTTAATAAGTTCTTCCACAGTAGATGGAGATGCTATACTCAGAAAATTACGAAATTTCTCCGGTATGTCAGCTTTGATGGATTCTAGCAACAGCTCCTCATCTATGTTTAGATCTTTCGACGATTTCCACTTCTCAGCAGCATATTCAGAAAATGTCTTTTTTGGAGATGGCCTCATAGATAGAAAAAGTTCATACTTATCTTCTCTAAAAAGAGAAAATTTTTCTTGTAGTTTTACCTCGAGTTCGGTCCATTTATCAATTTCTATGCATTCATTAATGTAGAAGGTAAATAAGTCTCGTTTCAGGTATTCAGGTATGTTATTTATTTTCCAGTTTCCTTCCAAATGTAGAATTTCACATTTTTTATTGAAATACTTGATCCAGTTGGGGAAATTATTTTTATCCTCACACGGAGAAATATTAACGCGTGCTGGAGCATCCACCTGGTTTTCTTTTGAATCAGACATTATTCGTTTAATTTTTCTGTTTCTTAATTCTAAAGTCATCAAAATAAAGTTCTAATCGGGGATTAAAGCGAGAAGAAGACAAAACAAAGAGAGAAATAACAGTCCTCGTTCTTCTTTACCACACCCACGCATTCGAATTTCTAATCCAAGGTTACGAATCATTTTAGAAGCGAAAGTCGATTATCAAAAGATGTATTCCATTATTAAATTAAATATCATTTTCAGTTTTCAATAATAATTTTTTCGCGACAGGAAGCTATCACTGCCGACTTATCTGTTACGCTTTGAAAGCCTAAACATTGTAAGTTCGTAGTGTGGCCGGTGCTTCTTGAAAAAGATACAGGAAAATGCAGGAATCATAATATAATTTTATTAAAGTAAGGGCCAGAGCCCCAGAAGGACAACCTTACATGCTGGTGGATAGGTAGAGAATAGCACATTTGACCTTGGAAAGAGGGTTTTTATATCTTTCTGGACAATATATTTAAATGTTAATAGGTTTGTCCCCACTGCTGATTTAAAANTGTAACTGTGATATAATTTGGTTTCGTGTACCTGGCAACTTCGATGCATAATTAGTTCGTTTATGTTTATGTTCTACGTAGCTTCGTGCCTGTCTTTGTGTTAAATAAGAAATATATGGTGAAAGAATTGTAACTGTGATATAATTTGGTTTCGTGTACCTGGCAACTTCGATGCATAATTAGTTCGTTTATGTTTATGTTCTACGTAGCTTCGTGCCTGTCTTTGTGTTAAATAAGAAATATATGGTGAAAGAATTGTAACTGTGATATAATTTGGTTTCGTGTACCTGGCAACTTCGATGCATAATTAGTTCGTTTATGTTTATGTTCTACGTAGCTTCGTGCCTGTCTTTGTGTTAAATAAGAAATATATGGTGAAAGAATTGTAACTGTGATATAATTTGGTTTCGTGTACCTGGCAACTTCGATGCATAATTAGTTCGTTTATGTTTATGTTCTACGTAGCTTCGTGCCTGTCTTTGTGTTAAATAAGAAATATATGGTGAAAGAATTGTAACTGTGATATAATTTGGTTTCGTGTACCTGGCAACTTCGATGCATAATTAGTTCGTTTATGTTTATGTTCTACGTAGCTTCGTGCCTGTCTTTGTGTTAAATAAGAAATATATGGTGAAAGAATTGTAACTGTGATATAATTTGGTTTCGTGTACCTGGCAACTTCGATGCATAATTAGTTCGTTTATGTTTATGTTCTACGTAGCTTCGTGCCTGTCTTTGTGTTAAATAAGAAATATATGGTGAAAGAATTGTAACTGTGATATAATTTGGTTTCGTGTACCTGGCAACTTCGATGCATAATTAGTTCGTTTATGTTTATGTTCTACGTAGCTTCGTGCCTGTCTTTGTGTTAAATAAGAAATATATGGTGAAAGAATTGTAACTGTGATATAATTTGGTTTCGTGTACCTGGCAACTTCGATGCATAATTAGTTCGTTTATGTTTATGTTCTACGTAGCTTCGTGCCTGTCTTTGTGTTAAATAAGAAATATATGGTGAAAGAATTGTAACTGTGATATAATTTGGTTTCGTGTACCTGGCAACTTCGATGCATAATTAGTTCGTTTATGTTTATGTTCTACGTAGCTTCGTGCCTGTCTTTGTGTTAAATAAGAAATATATGGTGAAAGAATTGTAACTGTGATATAATTTGGTTTCGTGTACCTGGCAACTTCGATGCATAATTAGTTCGTTTATGTTTATGTTCTACGTAGCTTCGTGCCTGTCTTTGTGTTAAATAAGAAATATATGGTGAAAGAATTGTAACTGTGATATAATTTGGTTTCGTGTACCTGGCAACTTCGATGCATAATTAGTTCGTTTATGTTTATGTTCTACGTAGCTTCGTGCCTGTCTTTGTGTTAAATAAGAAATATATGGTGAAAGAATTGTAACTGTGATATAATTTGGTTTCGTGTACCTGGCAACTTCGATGCATAATTAGTTCGTTTATGTTTATGTTCTACGTAGCTTCGTGCCTGTCTTTGTGTTAAATAAGAAATATATGGTGAAAGAATTGTAACTGTGATATAATTTGGTTTCGTGTACCTGGCAACTTCGATGCATAATTAGTTCGTTTATGTTTATGTTCTACGTAGCTTCGTGCCTGTCTTTGTGTTAAATAAGAAATATATGGTGAAAGAATTGTAACTGTGATATAATTTGGTTTCGTGTACCTGGCAACTTCAATGCATAATTAGTTCGTTTATGTTTATGTTCTACGTAGCTTCGTGCCTGTCTTTGTGTTAAATAAGAAATATATGGTGAAAAAATTGTAACTGTGATATAATTTGGTTTCGTGTACCTGGCAACTTCGATGCATAATTAGTTCGTTTATGTTTATGTTCTACGTAGCTTCGTGCCTGTCTTTGTGTTAAATAAGAAATATATGGTGAAAAAATTGTAACTGTGATATAATTTGGTTTCGTGTACCTGGCAACTTCGATGCATAATTAGTTCGTTTATGTTTATGTTCTACGTAGCTTCGTGCCTGTCTTTGTGTTAAATAAGAAATATATGGTGAAGCAATTGAAATCTTTGTGAAAGAATTTAGAATGTAACACTTAAGTAAATTGATCCTTTAGAGGCTTGGATTACTCTAAATAGAATGGAAAGTGCAGTTGCTAACGTAAACAAATACCACGTTACAACAACCAATCAGGATCGAGATACGTCACTTGCAGGTATTCCATTGAATAATTTCAAATTCTTATGTTAGTTGAAAACATGATGAACTTTTTCATACTTACGTGAACCAGCATTATGACACACATAAGTTCCTGTTTCAGGCCCATTTGAAGTGTCAATTCTTTTCTTGGGAATCAATTCAATTATCTCTCCATCATTTTGATCGGGAATTTTACAATTAATTCCAAATCCGATATCTCTGTCCTTTGTTTCAAATTCCCACATTAAAACGGAAGATGGATGAAGAACATCAATGACTACATCAGTACTAGAGTGCCTTGATACCACTAGTCTCTTCACTCCCTCCAGGTTTCTTATTGTACTCTTGTTGGAGGAGAGAAAATATCTCTCTGGTATTTTACCTCCAGGGCATATCTAGAAATTGAAAATAATAACAAATATGCTATCACTAAAAAGCTGATTAAAAAATATTCGGTATTTTATGCTACTAATATGATTGTTTTACGAATATAATATAGTTAAAATAGTACTGAGTTTCAGTGGTGTAAAAAAAAACTATTAGTGAAATTTCACAGTTTTGCTATCCTGCTTATTTTTATTATAAGCTAAAACCATGTTATTGAAGAACTCGTTATTGTTTATAGCTGTTGAAAAAAATTGGTGAAGGACACGAATAAACTTTTTGCACGGGCAAGAAAATCTTTCTAAAATTTAATAAACGTGTATTAATTAACTTTGGATATTTAAATACAGACAAAAAAAAATACATATATACCTAGTTATTAATAGTATAGATTAAATATGCATTTATATGCATCGTAATTTAAAGCCGTCATTAGGAGTTGATACCATTTTTTATAAAGTACAAATCAATCAAAATCGCCTAATTTTGCGAAATTTTATTCAAAAATCGACAATAAAATATTTACCTAATACTTTTACTGTTGTTTTATTTTAATTGGTAAATAAATATATACTTAGACAAACTCATTTTAATAACATGACCACTATAATGAAATAATATTTTTAATAACATGAAAATTTTAATACATACAGATATATGAAAACTCATTGCTTTATCTTTCCAAATTAATATTCTAAGAGCAGAAATCCTTCTAACAGAAATAATTTCTTTTAAATAACTAGAAATGTTTAGAGATAAGTTTTTGACTGCTCTTTTATAAATTTTGCTACCAATTTTAGGAGGAGGCTGGTCAGCTTAACATTATAAGAAAAGGAAATAAGTTTAATGCTATTAGAAATTAGAACACTGTTACGTAATTCTCCTAAGATATTGAATAAACTAGATCTTCAGGAGAATCTTTCACCAAAGTTGCTCAGCTTTAGAAATAATTAGTTTCTAATATTCCCATTTGTACTATAAAATTGAAGATAATTACTGTTCATCAGGTGATTTTTTTACCATACGCATTTTTTAAAGATCTCTTTATTTTGCTCTCGTTCGAATTGAGAATGTATATAGTATCTCCTTCTCGATCAAACATACCCGCACATGTGACCTATGACGTCAGAGCCAGCTTATAGCCAATAAACAAAATGACGTGTCAAAGTTGAGCTAAGTTTTTCCACGTAAGTTAGAATGTTAATTAACGGGAAGTTAATTAAATACAGTATGTATTATGTAATGTATAGTATGTATTATGTAATGTATAGTATGTATTATGTAATGTATAGTATGTATATAGTATGTATTATGTAATGTATAGTATATATACAACATGTATTATGTACATTATGTAATTATGTATTTTATTGCAACACGTAATATGTTTTTGTTTTGTCTACCTGGCAACTTCAATGCATAATAATTTTGTTTATGTTCCACAAGGCTTCGTGCTTGTCTTTGTGTTAAGTAAGAAATATATATGGTGAAAGAATTGAAATCATTGTGAAAGAATCTTTGTGAAGGATAGAATGTATCACTTAAGAGAATTGATACTTGACAGGATGAGTTAACTCGAAATGGAATGGAAAGAACAATTTCTAAAGTAAACAAAGCCACGTTTTAACAACCAATCAGGCTCGAGATACCCACACTACGTCACTTGCATGTATCCCATTGCATTGGAGCATACCCATTTCTGCGACTTGAGCCGCTTCAGGTGCGCATGCGCATTTACTTCAAACCTTACGTATGGATGCGTATGAAATGATACATAAAACTCTAAAATCTCCCCTTTATCACAGTACCTATTTTAGGTTAAATTTCCGCACAGCAATCATTACCACAAAAGCATCACTGGCCTCAATGAAAGTTTGGATCCACCGAAACAGAATAGCTCCAGAGTTAAATACAACATTTTTTGAAATACTTAAATTAAAAATGAATACTTTATAACCATTTGTATAACAGTAATGTTAATACTTTAGACAATGCCTTAACTAGGGAAGAAAGGGCGATTTTTTTTATTTTGTTAGACCATATGAGTAAAACTTGCACAATTTAACTCAGTCAACATGGTTGGCAAGATTTTACAATCAATCTTAAAAGTACCGGTAAAAACCATAGTTTTTACGGTATAGTGCATTTAAAAAAAATACTCAAATGAGCACTTTAACAACAGAAATGAAACAGTGATAACAAGAGAAAGGATCAAAATTAGTATCTAAACACATGAACTGGCATGAATCTTTCGACTAGCCTTTAAACAATTTATGTATATAAAACTCCTATAATGAAATCATAAAAAACTTTCGATGTTATTAATATATTTCAAATCCATTTATTTTTTTTATTTTTTTAATTTTCTAAGTTCTTTCCCATTATTAATTTTGATCTACAATCGATAATTTTTTTTAAAAAAATCTTTTAACTAAATTGATGAAATTTCATTCTCTGTACAAATCTAAATGAGTATTTGAAGAAAAGTTTCTGAAGTATTTAATGTATTTTTGACTTAACTGCAATTAATTTATCTTACTAGACTTCTGCAGAGAGGGTTACCATCTGGATCGGTTCTTTTCCCGCCAAGAAATGCTGGTAAAACTTCGTCATCGATATTTTCCAGTAACTTCTCTTTCCAGCCATCTGGAGAAAAAAAAACATGACGTGACATTTATAAGGCATGAATCCACATTTACGATGCATGCACTGTAAAAACACTTATACGAAAATCTACTATGAAACGCTGGGCTCCGCATTTTATGTACAGAAACAGTCAACTATAATATTAAAAGATGAGTTTTAGATAGACGGGCCAGGATAGCCTGGTTGACAGACTCACGTTCGTAGGTACGGGAATTCAGCCAACCGAAGACTGTAGTAAATGATGACTAGTGCACTTTAAATCTGTTGGGTAACATAACAAATTATACCTCTGGGCATGCATACTGAATTGGAGATTGATCGTTGTCTGGTGCAGGTCAAAATTACGATCTGCGGACGAATGCATGAATAAGCCCACACCATAAACGGGTGAGACGTATAGGTGTGGCAGAATGTCCCTAGATGGCGTCACTGGAAAACTAGAACAATCGCACATTTTGCCTGAATGGCCTACGACTAAACAACATGAGTTTTAAAACCGAGTTGAATATTTTTTAATAAAAAGAAAATATCAGAAAACAAAAGAATGGATGACAATTCGTAACTAAATAACTCGAAATATTATGTATATTATATATAAAAACTAATGAAATATTCCAATTTGTAGAGTAATAAAATGGAGGGTGGCGCTGTATGGTGATCAGGGAGCTGAAAGTCAGAAAGATCTCGTGTTCGTATCAGGGATAAGGCCATGAATGTTCTTTCCTTCTCTTCTCTGAATTATCTGTCTCTCTTACTGTGGGTACAATGTTTGCCCACCTAATAGGGTGACCCTGATAGAGTAGTCAACAAATCTACTCTTCCGATACCCGAATGACGAAAGTTAATATCCGGGTGGGCATTGAAAAGAAAGAGTAATTAAAAAATCAACAAAAAAATTGTGATCGCCTCATTACTATCACCCATTGTTCAAATGCTTTTTCTTTCTGGATTGACTCCGTTAAACATTTCAAATCATGGATTGCTGTCTCCATCGATGTATGTCGTCTGATTGATTTTCATATCCTGCCTATGTACGTATTTCAAGCAGAGATGGGCATTTGTCATTCAGAATAATGAATAAAGAATGATGAATAATTATTCAATGATGAATAAAGATGAATAAAGATTTATTCATTAGTCAGAAATATTTTGAATAAAGAATATTCGTTATTCAGTATCCTTTATTCATTAGTCAAGAATAACTGAATAATTTCACTGGTCAACAAAAATGGGCACGGAATACTCTAATTGACTACGATTATGACAACTACAAATGAAACGTTAATCCTTTTTAAGTATATTTATATAATGTTTGAGAAAATTTACTTTTGTCTAACATAATGCATACTTTTGAGAAATGGTTACATGGTAAAAAAAGGGTTTAATTTTTTTAATTAAAATTTTATTTAAAAATTTAAAATAATATTATCGTTTGCTTTCAAAAACTATAAAAAATTGCGTTTTATAGATTTTAGAACAAAATTTCAAAATGAACTTAAGTAACTAAACTGTTATAAACCTACTTTTTAGCACAACTAAGTATGTTACGCTGGAGTAAGTTAAAATAACATAAAAATAAATAGTCAT